GACAGACCCTCAAGGAGGTGAAGTTGTAAGATCAAGGCTTTTTTCGCTACTGTTGGTACTCTAACCTGCCTTGATTTTTAATTCATATTCTTATGAATTTTTCTGGGTAACTGTTTTCACTCGGCAATTCATTGATCAAAAAAAAATTATTTACTTCTAACTTATCGTGTAATTAAGTTCGTACATTTAACGACTCCACTACAGATGATGCATTCATCATACTGGTTTAGTTGATGACATCCAAAGGAAACGAGTTAAGCTGGAATAATTCCCTAAAAGGTACTTATATAGTTTACGAACACCTTACTTTGCTTAACTTGTACTGTCAAAATTATTGTAACTATTTTGTTGCAAAGGGAAAATGAGTATTGATACAGAGCTTCAAAATTAAAGCTTCAGTAACGGTGATCCTGTTTTTACGGTCTGCCTTAGCTAACGTGGCGGCCAACTTTTCTTTCTTTAACGTCAGTTAAGTGAGGTTCAATAGTTCGTTGACTGCGAAACAAATTCCCAACCACATTCATGATTGAAAAGCTCTCTGTTATTGAACCACCAACGCAACCTTTAGTATAATACCTGCAAAAGATATCAACATGTATGTAGGATAACATGCGTCACTGGCACAGTGGTAGAATGGTCGACAACCACGCTAACTTGGTTCGGGGTTCTATCCCCGGCCAGTGACGCACTCCTTTACCTCGGTAAGCAAGTAATGAGACTGCTAAAGAGGGAAGGTTGGGGGGGCGGTGGCATGAGGTTAGCAACCCCATCACGTGAAAGTAGACACCACTGCTGCTACAGAAACTTCAAGCCTCTAGCTTGAAGCAGCCCTATGTTCCACTGGGAACGTGAAGGAATACAATAAATAATGTAGAAATGCCAAAGCGGCATTAAATCGAAAAAATGATTATCACCACATTTTAAATGTTTTCCAATCACTTAAACAACCGAATAAATTCAAATAAGGTGGAAATTTATACTACAACTCTTTGTATAACTGATAACACAGGTGCCTTGTGAGTACTTATATCATTTTCAGTCGGAAATCTAAATTTACTTCACCGCTGCATCTTAGTCTAACTTGTCGATCTGAATCCTAATTGCCTAAGAGATCGGGCAACAGCTTAGCTACTCGGTAGTAATAATTTTATTTCATAAATTATACAAATATCATGGCAGTACACCGTATACAAAGGCAAATCCTCCTCTGCCATGCTCACTGATGCTGGTGTCCCCCAAGGTGTTGTAATCTCCCCCACCTCTCTCTTCTTTCGTTCTTTCTACATGACTTGCCATCTTCAAATGACATTACCATTGTTAAATATGCTAACGACCTGACAGTATGTATCTTTGCCTGTCAAATGTCAAAGTGACTGCTCTAAACTAAACGGCTTTTTATCAGAAGCCAGCCAATGGTCCAAGGAAAACGGTCTCACCCTAAACCCCTCTAAATGCCAAACAGTTAATTTCACCTTTAGGCACAAATCTGACCTAAACAAACTGGTTAGCACCACTCACGAGGTGTGCAACATAGATGGCACTGAAATAGAAACCAAGTCAGAAATTAAATACCTTGGTGTCATTCTATCTGCTGATCTTTCCTGGTCGTCTCATATCTTGATGATTTCTAAGAAAATATTCCGTCTCACTTTTCTACATCAAGAAGTTAAGACATTCTGGAATAACTTACCCGACCCTTACTCCTACAATTTGTTAACTCCCGTATTGTGCCTATTATTCTCTATTGTTCCCCTTAGTTTTTCCTGAGCTAGCTACTGAAGAAAGACTATACCGTATTACGCAGGATGTTAAGGGTTGTCAGCAGGGTAAGCTACGTGCCACTTAACCAGCTTGTTAATATTCCGGTTGACAGGCACATGGACTCATGTGAAAAATGGGATAAATCCATTCTATCTAACTCACACCACCAACATCTTCATTCACAACTCTCCCCTTGTATCTTTTCAGGGAAAACCAGAAGCCTATATAGGAAACTATGTGCCCGCACTAGTAAGTACAAAAACTCAACCATACCCTACTTAGCTCGTGTTCTGTGCGATAAAGGAAGCATTAGGCGTGATACCTAATAGTCAGTAGAACAACTGGATCTAGTCTTTCCAACTCATTTCATTTATTGGTGCAACGTTTTCTTTCTTTCTTTTCCTTTTCTCTCTCTCCCTTTTTTCTCTGTTATGTGCAGCTTTGTTTCTTTCTTCTGCTTACGCCAGTAAATATGCTAGAACCTACTTTTCCAACACCTTCTAACACTCTGTTTAATTTTGGCTTTGCTACCGACATGCTAATATGTTGTTGTCAAAACTAACTGAGATTACCCTTAATCTATGTAGAACTTTATTTATTGTTAATGTACTAACTGGATGCAATATTGTGGTAAAATGCTGAGAATTCCATTCTGTATCCCAAGTACTGTTTTGGAATAAAGCTATTATTATCTTATCTTAAAAAGAACTTCTGAATAAGGATAACTAAGTTATATTACTATTTGCCTCCGTTAAACAAAATTCGACGTACACAAGGCAGCAAAAGACTTCCTTACCAGATAGTATAAGTATATCATAGTACCACGAACTGAACCTGACCCTGATAGACGGAACTGTCCCACCCCGTAGGTCATAAGGGCTGGTTTTGACTTTCCAAACGTGAATACAAATGTAAGCTTATTAAACAAGATCAACTCACAATTTTATTAGAGTGATAACATTTCATTCCACCCGCCCCCCCCGCCCAACATGATTCTAGTTTGTCACGACTTCAATAAGTACGGTAACAAATAAACGAATCACCCAGTCATATGATAAATCTTTGAAAAGCAAACCTGGTGGAGTTCAAAATGACCGTCAGCTTGACAATTTAGTTAGTACTGTAGCTATAGGTATGTAATGATTTTTCCACATCATTGGAAAAAAGTACTTTGTCTTAGCAATCACATTACATTATCTATTATTACTGTCACTTAAATATTCTTACTTCCCACGCTTACTAAGACTTTCTAATCGGCGATTCTTGCTACTTCATTTCTAGGATATAGGATAACCCCAGTGGGTGGGGCGTCTGACTAACGGACCTACTGGTTTCAACATAGAACTACTTTGCACAGATGGGCAGCAGCTCCAGTTGCAACATTCCCTCCATGTAGCACACAAAGCAAGAGAAGACAGATAATAAACTGAAAAATATAAAGCAAAACTAATAGTTATATGGATGAACAAGGGAATTGGATATTGTAAATCACAAACAGTGAATGCGCCAGCCATTGAGAACGACAATTTTGAGCCATATCATCAATTGTCTTCAGCCTTCATTGGTTTTTACCGTGCCGAGTACCACAACCTCCCTCTCTACGTGACTGGTTGGCTGGCTTAAACTAACTGTTGTGGATTTCATTGACCGATGAAGCCATGTTTCTAACTGATCACCACTGGCTCTTTTCCAATGTGATCAACCCCCTATGTCAGCTAACATCACCTGTCATTCGACAAAGGCAATGGCTAGAAATACGTAACATATGTTCTAGCCATTTAAATATGCGTAACTTGACAGCCTCGCCGATCGATCGATCCTCCCTCCCTCCTTACCTAGCACTCGACCGATGCCTAACCTCAATATTATCCACCCTATTATAACACTTAACACGGAATGTAGAGAGAACGCAGACACCTATGATCGAAGACAACTAGGTGGACTTTTCATATCCTCCACTTTCAATAGCTGCGTCTCATAGCCATAAAGGAGGGTCGAGCAATACACATCCTCTTTGTTCGATAGCCAGATATCACGCAACGCCAGACATGGCGTATGTTGACACATGTCAAACCAGCCTTCTGTATACTTGCTGAGATATTGTCAACGATCAACCCGCTAGAGTCAGTTGATGCAACTCCCAAAATAAAAAGTGAAATGGTCAACACGCTCCACCAGCCACTTCATTTACTCCCTATATTTAAGCTAGGAGTGAGTCGATGTAGCCTGTCCAGTCCTGTAGCCTAATCATCTCACATTTGACGGGTAGTGGGTGAGTACTGCTGAGCAGTTCCAAACCACAGTGAAACAGGACGCTGTCCAACACTCCCTAGACAATGTTTGACTGTGAAGGGAGGGCCAAGAAAGTACATTGCACTAATCAAGGCACTCTATTCAAACTCACGTAGACGTGTAAGGGCTTATGGGGAATTGTCATCTGAATTGGTAACAACCAGTGGTGTCCGACAGGGATGTCCACTTTCCCCATTCCTGTTTAACTTCATCATAGATATGCTGATGGAAGTATCCTTAACTGAACGTAATGACTTAGGAATCGACTTGTTACCAGGGAATAGTCTTATGGACTTAGAATATGCAGATGACATAGTCCTTTTAGGGAAGGACACTGACAAAATGCAGAGTCTTCTGAACACCTTGACCTGCAATCTTCGTATGTTTGGCATGCAAGTCGCCCCTGTAAAGTGTAAGATGCTGCTACAGGACTGGACTACGTCAACTCCTAGCCTAGTGATAGGGAGTGAAGTGATAGAACATGTTGACCACTTCACCTATGAAATCCTTGACAGTCAAACTGAGTCAGTCAGGTAGGGAGATGCAGACTTCCGGATTGGGGCCCTCGCCTCGGGACTCTAGGAATCAATGGCTGGAGACAATAGGTGACATGGCTCAAAATCGTTGTCAATGGCCAGCGGAGATGTATTCAGTCTCTGTAATCTTTCATATTCCTTTCTACCATTACCCATTCTGTTTCACTCTTATACTTGTCAAACTCTATTGATTCTCTTCACTCATCTTCTTGTCTACCTTGTGTGCTATTTGGAACGTGGCAACTCGAACTGGTGCACTTCGGTGCCAAGTTCTATGTTGAATCCAGACAGAGACAGACAGACAGACTCCCTAGTTGGTGGTGGTTTCCATTGGTTCTCTAACCGATTAATAATCATGATGAAATCTGTTTACAAACACATATGTAAAGTGTTGTCAACACAGCTTGGTGTTTCATATATATGAAGACTAAAGCATAATAAATAAGAATAGGAAATACAATTATATTTTATTCAATGAATGAGTGTTATATTGATATACAAGAAATAAGAAGTTCATAACAATCTATGTACACACAACAACAAAAAAGAAGAACACGAATGTATCAAAATTTGAATTCAGCTTATTCGTCTTCGCATTGTTGACTGACCGATCAACCAACTGGACTTTAACACTTTTCCTCTCACATCCTCTTCCTACACTCTTCCTCCTTCATCTTCTTCATCATGTTCGTCATTTGACTCGTAATCGTCTCCTGGTGGTGTACAATCATCATTTCCACCGAAATCGCTATCTTCTTCACTCTACACACACACATACAGGAAAGAAAAGTTAACAATAATCACTTATGAGAGCTTTGATTCGAAAATATCTAACGGTGTATCAAGCTGTCTTGGGGAAAACCAAACTTCTAAATTGTCGTTATAATCCTATAACATCCTGTTTTACCCACAGTCAAAGTCTGATGTTGACTGACTAACTGACTGACTGGTTTCAACATAGAACTGCTTTGCACAGATGTGCAGCAGTTCCAGTCGCCACACTTCACTCAGTACACAAAGAAAAAGACACACAAAATAGAGACAGTGAGCAGAGATATGAGCCAAAAAGAAAAACAATATAATTTTATTGAAGTGGATGCATCTGTGCCAGTCATTAAGAACAATCATTTTGAGCCATATGATCAGTTATCTTCAGCCTTCATTGGTTTTTACCATACCCCGGGACCCCAACCAGTCAGAAAGTCTACATCTCCCTCCCTACATGGCTTAAACTGACTGTTGTGGATTTTATTGACTGATGAAGTCATCTTTTGGTTTGACCACCACTGGTTAACTCTTTTCCAACCTGATTAGCCCTATGTCAGCTAACATTGCCCGTCAGTCGAGGAAGGCGATCGATGGCTAGGGGTGCTGCATACAAAACACATGCTCTAACCATTTTGGTTAATGTAGCTTCACTCTCTTTACCTGGTACTCGATGCCTAACCTCAGTATTGCTTACCCTACTATGTCACTCAAACACGGGAGATAGGACTCAGGCACCTATGATCAAAGATAGCTAGCCAGGCTTTTTATGTCTTTCACCTCAATGGCCACATCTGTCTCACAGCCATAAAAGAGGATGGAGCGGACTGATGAGCAGTACACGCGTCCTTTGGTCGATAGCCAGCTGGATGTCACGTCTATATCAGAGATAGTGTAAACTGGTGGTATATGCGAAACTAGCCCTCTGTATCCGTTCTGAGATTTCGTCAGAGATCAACCCGTTGGCGTTAGTTGATACAACTTTCCAAATAAGTGAAGCGGTCAACATGCTCTACCACTTCACGCCCTATTTCTAGGCTAGGAGTGAGTCAGTGTAGTCCAGTCCGGTAACATCATCTATAGCAGCTAACACTACCCGTCAACGAGGAAAGCGATGACTATGCATGTGAAGTACACGTATATCCTAACCATCTTAACCGATATAGCTTCACAACTGCATCGATCAACTAACTTTCCTTACTTAACACACTCTAACATCTAACCTCAACATTACTTACCATATGATAAAACTTAACACGAGAGATAGAGGGGGTAAATATCTGTGGTCTTTTTTCATATCTTGCTAGGTCTCAACATCCATAAAGGAGGACAGGATAAACTGCTGTCCAGTACGCAACACCTCCATTCATCTATAGCCGACTATCATGTCTACGCTAGCTAGATATAACGTAAGTTGGTAAATATCACACGAGGCTTTTGTACGCGTACTGAGATCTCGTCAGTAAATAACTAACTGGTCAATTAGAGATGATGCAACACATTTAGCTATTCCTTGCTGTATCTTTAAACTATGTGTCGGCTCAGATCAGTCCTACAGCATAATGCCATATGTCAGATAAGTTTATTTTAAATAACATACAGTGATGCTGCAGGTTGAACAAACATGAAGGTGTGATGTTAGCTGACGCATAGGAAATCCAGATTAATAAATAAGAATGGATACTTATCACTAATTAATAATACTTGGTCAAAATTCCTGACTGTCTAGATCTCCTTATGGAGACGTTAAGATATTGTTTTACAACTGTTTATCCGCACACACACACACATACACACTGTGTTTAACAATTTATCGCTGCTCATAATCATATCAATTTAGTCACACAACTCCACTATTTGTCCCAGGTTGATATTTTTCTTTCTTTTCTGTCTCACTGACTTTTCTTTGCTGTTTGTTGCCATGTTCCATATCTCCGGTATAGGCGGCGTTGTGTCATTCCGATTGACTGCACGTGTGCTGTATTCAATCGATAAACAAAACTTCAGTAATTAACTTCTCTTTATCTCCACCTAACCATATAACTTTTAATACCCTCTCATCCTATCGTCCTACCTAGTCGTTGTGTGATTAAATGCAAGTGAATTCAGTGGAATGACTGAGGTCTGTTTTTTCTAGCTTATTTAACTTAGCAGGGTCAATCATCATCATCATCAAGTCTAGTCAAATTTTTATGTTCCAATAATCTAGTTGACCCGATCTACTAATTTGACCTTTTAGCACTGATGTGTGTAAAGAGAAGTGACGTCAGAGGCTTTACGTAGAATTCTCAATGACGCTGGAATTAGTCGAGATGGTATTTAAACCAGCAAACCAACCAACTCTCTCACAGATAAACTTTGTCGGCTTAAGGACCCGATAGATAGTTCCAATTAAGAAAAAAATAATATCATTTACCAAATACCATGTAATGACTGTGAGGTCATTTACACAGGTCAAACTAGCAGATCAGCGTCAACAATTATTATTATTTTATTTATTTGCTTTATTCCAAAAACAGTACTAAAGATAGTGCAAGGAATTTTCAGCATTCAATACAATATTGCATCTAATTTACTCAAAAACGACAAAAAAATAATAAAAATAAACATTACATAATAATAATAATAAAACGTTGTTATAGCAGCTACATAGCAAATTACTGTATGCAATACGGAGAAAAATATGCATAAAGTATAAAATTGTAGTAATAATAGTAATAACAACTAAAATAAAATAGCAAAGTTATAATTAAACGATAGAAAGGGTGACACCATAAAATACAGAAAGATGAACGATGAAAGGGTCGATTCACTTTGCTAATTACATAGTAACTTATATGTTTCACGTCTAACAGAGTCTTCGTCACATAAAGTACGGGCTAAATAGGGTATTGTAGAATTTCTGTACTTAGTGGTACGAGCATATAACTTTTTATATTGACTTCTTGTCCTACCTGATGAGATACAAGGGGACAGTTGTGAATAAAGGGGATGCAGAGGGTCTGACGGTATAGCCTTTGCCCATTTTGTCCAGGAATTTATATGCCTCTCGACTATAGTATTGGCGAGCTCACGCAGTGGCAGACCACAAGCTCTACTCACAGCATTTAATACTCTTCGTAATATGATATAGTCTTTTTTGAGAAGCCCAGGAAAGATTAATGGAGAGCAATAGAGTACAATAGGTAAAATACAGGAGTTTAAAAATTGCAAAACTAAAGGTTGGTTGATACCTGATTGTCTTAAGTTTTTAATGCAGAAGGTAGGACGAAACATTTTCTTAGAGATAGATAAGATGTAGGATGACCATGAAAGGCCAGAGGAAAGAACTAATCCAAGGTATTTAATGCTTGACTTGGTTTCAGTTTCCGTGCCATCTATGCTACGGGCATCATGCGAACTAACTAGTTCATGTAAGTCACGTCGATACTTGAAAGTAAAGTTAACTGCCTGACATTTCGAAGGATTTAACATAAGACCATTTGACTTAGACCACTTGCTGATGTCCAACAGAAAGCTATTAAATTTGGAGCAGTCAGACTCAAAAGTGACAGGCAGTGATACAGTCAGATCATCTGCATATTTGGCAAAGTTTGTTTCGTTTAAATGAGGCAGGTCGTGTAGGAAGAAAGAAAAAAAGATGGCACCTTGAGGAACACCGGCTTTTGTAAGCGAGGTAGAAGAAGATTTGCCATTATATACAGTACACTACATTCTATCAGTAAAAATAGGAATGCAACCAACTCTTAGCCCAGGATCCTTTTTGTGTCAACGAAAGCTTATTTGATATAAAAGGCCCCTAGGTACAGAGTCAAAAGCAGATGTCTAGTCTAGGAAACCACTACAAACATATTTGGCACCTTTTTCTATACAAGAAACAACATTGTGATATAAGACAACCGCAGCATCCAAGGTTGGAACATAAAAATTTCGCCAGAATTTAAATGATGATGATTGACCCTGCTAAGTTAAATAAACTAGAAAAAACAGACCTCAGATATCATTCCATTGAATTCATTTGCATGTAATCACAAAATAGGTTGTGTGGGACACAGTGTGAGTATTAAAAAGCAATTTTTTTTTATTTATTTTATTTTTGATTACAGCTTGATTCCACACCGCATTTTTGGTACAAGTATGGAATTTTCAGCGTGGATATCGGTAGCCCAAAATTCGCAGGCCAACCATGGATATCAGGTGTGCGTCGGCGAGGGCTCGAACCCCGGACCATGTGCATGGTCGGCTAGAGTCCTAACCACTTTGCCACCGACGCATATATAGTTCAGTGGAGAGACAGAGAAAGGTTAATCACTGAAGCTTTGTTTACCGATTCGATACCGCACACGAGCAGTCAGTCAATCGGAATGAAGCAACGCCACCTTAACCGGAGATATGGAACATGGCAACAAACAGCAAAGAGAAGTTAGAGAGACAGAACAGAGAGAAAAATATAAACAGGAGACAAATAGTGGAGTTGTGTGACTAAATTGATATAATTATGAGCAGCAATAAATTGTGCTTGAAGTTGTGTCATCTCTAGTCGTTAATACTGCCCCCATTGTATGTTATTTAAAATAAACTTATCTGACATGAAATTACATCCTACCACAGTGCTCAAGTTTTACACTTATATTAATGATACGTACAGCGTAATTTTTCATTGAACAAGACACGAAACATATGCAAAACACACCAAGATTTCTGTCAACGAGTTCAGAAGATTGCAGTTTGTCAGCATACAAGGCATAAAATGAACCCACACAGAAAACGTGAAGGATCTAGACTTCGCCGATGATATATGTCTGAATTCCCACAAACTGCAAGATATGCAAGTGAAAAGCAACAAGTTGACAGAAGAAGTATACAGAGAGGATAGGACTTCAGGTGAGCATAAAGAAAACAGAGGTAGGTGATGAAGATTCCTGGCCAATAGAAACAACAACAACAACCACAACAGACAACAATCAGTCAGTATAAATGGGAGGAACCTGAAAGAAACAACCTCCTTCACCTACCCACCAGGGCAGCATCGTTGCAACTACAGCCGGGCGGAACTGACAAGGATATCAAAGCAGCGAAGATCGGGAAAGCAAGACAAGCTTTCATTATTCTGAAGTGTGTGTGGAGGTCAACAGCACTACTCAGCATGAAAAATAAGATCCGGATTTTCAGTGCTACTTATTATACGGATCAGGAACTTAACGTGTCATAAGAGCATCTCAAACAAACTGCAGACCTTCATCAACAGTTGTCTTCACTCAATACTCAAGATCAGATGGCCAGCCAGAAAAGATCAGCAATAGAGATCTTTGGCAGTGGCCGAATCAACCCAGCAGGAACTGACTGTGCAACAAATAAGCAGGAAGAAATGGAGGTGGATTGACCATACTCTAAGAAAACAAACCATCAAGTGACATCACTAGAGAAGCCCTCTAGTGGTACCCGAAAGGGAACCGGCGAGTTGGTCGTCAGTGCGAGGGTGACGTGGAGGAGATCGTATGAAGAGATGAAAGCATGTGGGCAGACTTGGAGCCAGATGAAAACTCTAGCAGAGAACCGAAGGCAATGGAGACGCGTGGCTGAAGCCCTATGTTCCTCTAGGAACTAAAGGGAATAATATCACCTTGTATGTTATCTATTAAAAGATCCCTTATACATATAAAGGTAATATAAATCCCAGTAACTAGTTGATTATCCCCCTAACACCCCACCCTTTCAAAGCTTTCAATTACACTCAAGGCCTTCGACAGCGTTGACCGCGAAGTAATTTGGAAACTACTCGAGTACTACGGCGTACCCCAAATATTCATCAACCTTATTTAACAGCTGTACGACAACGGCACATGTCAAGTCATCCACAACGGAAAACTCAGTGAGGCGTTTGGAGTAAACACAGGAGTCAGACAAGGGTGCTTATTATCACCAATGATATTCTTAATTGTGGTGGACTGGATTATGCGTCAGACAGTGAGTGGGAAACGAGAAGACAGGGATATCCTGGGTCAACCGACGTGAAGAACCTAGAAGACCTGGATTTCGCGCGTGGATGATTTATGTTTGATGTCACACAAAATCGAAGACTTACAAGCGAAAACAGACAAACTGGTCGAAGAGGCAGCCGGCGAAGACAGGACTCCATGTGAACATAGACAAAACGGAGGTTATGAAAATAACCAACCAACAACAACAACAGCAGCAACATCCAGCGCCAATCACCATCAACAACGGGAGGGATTTGAAAGAGGTTACTTCATTCACTTATCATCTAAGGAGCATTGTCTCAACTACAGGCAGTCGGAACGGACGAGGATGTCAAATCGAGCGAGAATCGGGTGGTGGGCGAGAGACACATTCTCATCAACCTGAAACCAATCTGGAAATCTTCGTCACTGAACTCAGCATCAACAACAAAATTCAGTCGGATTTTCAATACAAACAACGTCAAGTCAGTCAGTTCTTCTATACGAATAAGAAACTTGGCGGGTGGGTCACAAAGAAGATTTCCAACAGCCTGTTGCAGACCTTCATCAACCAACAACTGCCTTCGCTAGATCTATACTGAAGATCAGATCAGATAGCCGGGCCGGAAAGAATCACCAACAAGAGAAACTATGGGAACAAACAAACAAAACAAGAACCAATCGCTAACCAACAAATATGCAGTTGGAGAAAGTGGAGATGGATTGGACACTCGTGGCTGAGGAGGCGCCGCTGGGTGACATGGCGCGCGCGTTAAGCCATTGCTCGAGTGGAACCAAGCCGAAATGAAAGCAGCGAGTGGGACGTCAGTGCAAGGGTGACATGGAGGAGATCGTATGAAGAGGAGTTGAAACAGTATGGACTAAGATGGATGCAGGTGAAAAGTACAGCAGAAGGAAGACAGAAGTGGCAAGTGGAGGCGTGCAGTTGAAGCCCTATGTTCCACTAGGAACCCAAGGGAATAATAATAATATTCTGTCTAACTGTCTGAATTAAGGTATTTATGATACAAGAGAAAATAATAATAAAAAGATTACACCACCGACACATATGAGAGAAAGCTCTACTTACATCATAATCTTCATACTTTGATTCGCTCGGATCATAATTTGAACTCGTCAAGCCAACACGGTCTGTTTTCATCAAATGACGACCATCAAAACTTATAACATTAGAATTAATATTACTACTAGCACTGGTATTACTAGTAGTATTAGTAGTCGCCGTGAATGGTGGTAGGGGATTCTTTAAAACACTAGACAATGTTCCACTTAATCCTTTGCTTTTCAATATACTACTAATATTGGTGTTATTAGTAGTAGTAGTAGTAGTATTGGCAGCAGTCGCATCATTTTGAGGTGTTGGCGTTGTTGTATTTTCATTGTTAGCGCGTGTCGAAATTTCTTCTCAGTATTAATATTGTCTGCTTCTGCAGTAGTATCATCATAATGCGCATAGTCTTCATCAGAATCGTTTGACCGGCGCCTCTACAAGGGTTAAGTAAGCAGAGACAGAGAGAGGGTGTGTGTGTATGTGTGTAGCAATGACAACTGACAAGAATTTTTACAGGAAAAGCAATAGAAAGTTTTTGAAAAAATCCAAAAACCTTGTCAAGATAAAATTTGTTTTTTACTTATTTTCTTTATTTTTGTTTTTTTGAAACTGTGATAGTCTATTTAATTGGTGGTGGATGGTGACTAGCAGTGGAATCCAGGATAAAGCGCATTTCGTCCTCCACTGCTAGTCACCATCCACCAATTAAGTTCTAATTACATGCACAGACATCCTCGAAGCATCTGCACAAGAAGTCGACAGACATGTCAACCTGAGACCCAGTACTTCGGTCCAATCAATCGACGGGAAAATCTAAAATTCAATTAAATGTGATAGTCTATCTTAGAACAAACGAAGATGAGACTGAGTGTCATTCAATCACCACCAGCGATCACTGGACAGCCTGGTTTGGAACTCTCCAGTAGTACGTACCCACCACCGCCAAGGTTTGTAGCCAGGATCGTCTGGTTACAAGGCTAACGAGCTTGTAGACAGTTTAGCCCTGGGAGCCCGATCCAATGGTCAGCCGATGAATTTCAACTCGTGCCAATTGACAATATAGCGCGACTGGTAGTGGCTAATGTCACTGTGGCGAGAATTTGTCCTCATACCCGACCTGCTGTAGTACCCCCCCTAGTCATGACTTCCCACTAGAACTCAGGTAACTAACTGACGTGAATAGTGCCAGTTGGTGGTGAGCATCAGATTAATATTCAAGTGTTGGCTTGCAGGGATTCAACTGGTTACAGGATTTCATCATGAGCTGATATCGGTGATTAGAGAACTATAAGAAAACCTGGGAGTACGGGACAGCTGTTTCGTATCTGCTTTCCGAAGAAATTACATTTGAAGGGTAGAATGATATGCATCGATCTCAGTGGTTGGTTGTTTTACGAGCTCGCATTGTAATCAGAAGGTCCTTGTGTTCAAATCCCGGTGGTGGGTATCTCTTGTGGTATGCGTCAGTGTTTAGGCGGTAAAATGTAGTTCGGGGTTTGATCCATGGCTAATATGCTCCTAAACCCTAGACGGTAGTAACCACGGTTAAGACACAAGGTTGGTCGTGAGGCTGAGAATCATATGCCGCAAAAACACGGCACCACCGCTACTGAAACTTTAGAGTTCAAGACTTGAAGCCCTACGTTCCACTCAGAACGCGAAGGAATAAATAAAAAATTATATGCATAAATTCACGTTTACGAACATACCTATATAAAGTTCACGAACTTATGCAGATGTGTACTGTGATTTTAAGGTAATCAATTAACAATGAAATTCAATTTCATTTTACTTTAATTGTAAGAATTTCTACTGCTTTCTCTCAAATAATGTAATTACCACTTTAATGTGGTGATGGGGTTAGCATATCGCAATAACCGAACAAGATGTAGGATATTCTTGAAGATTTCGGTTATGCCGGAAAGTTCGGCTGGATAGCGGTTAGCTTAAAAGCCATTACAATCAAAGTGTAGAATTGCTTGGATCATTTTCTGGGGGTTTCAAAGCATAGTGCCACCTGAAGAATAAGGACGTTACAACAATATGCCAGCTACACCGCTATCTCACTCAAAAGAGGGGCAGTTAGGAAAGGTTGACACCAAGAACCGCTCATGTTGATTTACCCGTACATGTCTGACATCGGTGATAAGTTATTCGTACGGGCAACATCAAAAATGGGTCGTGTTCGACTGTAAATCACACAGATGTGTCCCAGGTTCTGTAGTCAACCAACATTCATTTTCCCTCATACAGGTACTCCAAGAAAGTCAGCTTACAGCGGGTGGGCAGCCAAGTAGAAGCTCCCCCCTACATACTCCCATTACTAGCACACAACATCTTCATTTCCATTGCTTTTTTCACTGATTACACTCCGTGTGCTCTTCGAAGTGTGTGTGGACGGTTGTTACTTCCCGGTTGCCCACACCATGGAAGTTGATTGATTCTTCAGGTACCTGAAACAGAAAGAGGGTTAGTGTTGCGTAACCACAAAGCCCAGGGGACAACAGCTTGAGGCCAGCCGGTCACACACGGCCTGTATGAACTGGTTTCTTGGTTTGGTTCTGTATTAGTAAAATTACCGCCGGTTACGGACCACTGTAGGGTAAGTCGGGATGTACAATTGTTGGGGTCGACCTTTTCTAGGCCCCTCTCTTTCTCCAGAGTGGAGAGACAGCACAGCTGGCCAGCATGCTGGTTATCTGACGGAAACACCTTACTGCTGTTACATCCCTGTTCCCCAACAGTACGACTTCGCCCACACACCCCCAGCATAGTGTAAGAAAGATTCTTACAGTATGGCGGTAAGTGCTTTAAGTCTAATTGCTATCCTAACAACCTCCCTGGCATGGTAAGACCTACAGGAACAATAGTTCCAGCCAGTGTAGCTTGTTGGATCATTGAGATATGCAAGCGAGACCACCACGTCAAGGTAGCAGCTATCGGTCGAGTTTCCGTAGACAGGCCTCCTCACCTCCTAACTACTTGATCATTGCAAGCGACTTGAGCAAGAGAAACAGCATTCCTTGTTTCTCAAAAACACACTATCTACTATATATATTGGAGCTTTCAACCTCCTGACCTCATTTTCGATCAGACATCAGGATTCACTAGGCAAAACTTCGGCATCTTAAGCTTGAGATGTACATTGAGTGTCCATCACGTTGTTAGAACTCATTTACACAGAACAGCCTTTTTTATGTATACAAGGATATGAGATACATTTATTGTGTGACACCTGATGAAAATACCCAGTCACCCAGACTGAAGTAAGTGGTGTACACAAGTCGGATTTAGACCCAATGACAGAAAATCGACTCCTTAAGCTAGTGCACCTCACCTGGCTCTAACAGAGTAAAATCTACAAGATTCTCTTTACGGGAGTCAGGAGATTTTTTAGCTCATTGGTGTGAGACTTGCTATGATGGTGTACAAATAGCATCGAGTTCTAGAGTATAGTACAGAGAGTATGCTATCCGGCTGAATATATCCTTCAGAGTGAGAGAGAATTGTGATGCTCATCAATAGATTTTCAGTAACCAATTGACCTTAATTTGAACGATACGAGAAGTATATTGGGAGAGGCGGCGGGGGGGTGGTAATTAGTATCCCTAGAGTCTCATGTAGAACAACCAACAACCGTGACCTCCCTATTACTATTCTGTGTAGATAATCACCTGATCTTAGCTACTATTCATCTCAAGCAGAAAGAAAAATGTCTTCTTATCTGGCATACGGAAACATCAAGTTATAAGTTATTCATGAAGTGAGTCGTTGGGGAGGGGGTGGACTGCAGCTTGTTTTTAAAACCACTGTTAAAGCTCTGATAACATTTAAGTCCGGGTATTTGTATGGCCTACGATTGAACAGACTACATAACGAGCCGTTACGGAGCATTCGTGGCCACAGATTAGAACATAAAGTCTATATTTAGAAAAGAAATACCTAAACACATGTGAAAATGATAGTGATAGATGAAAGAAGACTGACACATCAGCGATCCGAACATTAGCAAGGAGCGACAGCTGCTAAAATCTACACGAATATAAACTGTAGTGAGTGACAAGAGGGAAAGAAATGTTGAAGACACCAACAGTAGGTAATACCCCTTCAAGTGTTTAGGATCAGTGTCTGTCTGTCTGTTTTCGACATAGAACTTTGCATCGATGTGCAACAGTTCAAGTCGCCACATTCCACTCCTTGTAGCACACAAAGCAAGAAAAGAAAGTAGAAGAAATGCATATTAGAGACAGTAAACAGGGATGTGAGACAAAGGAATAGTAATAACGAAGAACAATGTAGTTTCATTGGAAATCAAAACGAGTCACAAGGAGTGGATGCATCTAACTGTGCCAGCCATTGAGAACGATTTTTAGCCATGATGTCACCAATAGTTTCCAACCATTAGTTTTTACCGCCCCGAGGATCACAACCAGTCAGGAAGTCTACACCTTCCTAAGTGGCTTAGACTAACTGTTGTAGATTTCATTGACTGATGAGGCCATGATTTGGTTTGACCGCCGCTAGCTCTTTTCCAGCCTGACCCAATATCAGCTAATATTGCCCATCGAGGAAGGCGATGACTAGGCATACGTAACACATGTCCTAACCATCTCAGTCGATGTAATTTCACAGCCTCGTCGATTGATTTCCCCTCCCACCTACCTACTACTCGACCGATGCCTAACCTCAATATTGCTCACCTTATTAAACCACTTAACACACACGGGAGATAGAACTCAGGCACCTATGATCAAAGACAGCTAGCCAGGCTTTTCATGTCTTCCACTCTCAATGGCCACGTCTGTCTCACAGGCATAAAGGAGGACGGAGCGAACTGTTGAGCAGTGCACCTGCCCTTTGGTCGATAGTCGGATATCACGTCTACACCACAGACGGTGTAAACTGGCATATGCGAAAGTTTAGGATCAATAAAGAAACACGTTGTAAAAAAAAACACCACTAGTTCATTGGGATGTCAAAGTCAATCCTCCAACTGTAGGTGAGACTGGAAAATTAGTCATTAATCTACAACAGGCCAAAGCAGCAATACCTAATCGTATGAATCCAGAGATATTTAAAGACGGTGATAGCGAATTATTGACTAGAATAACAAAGGTATTAGTATATTATAAGGAATCCAAAGATAGTCTCAGAGGATCAATGCCCCCATGAGATCGGAGACAAATATTCCTGTGATGTTAACACGGGAATTAGTTTGACTAATACAATAACTAACCCTAACACTGTATTTATACAGAAAAATAAAGTCTAAGCTTACCTTGGGAGGATGACGCACATCAACTGATTCAGTTATTTGATTCAACGCTTGTTTCCGCCTTCCACGATCTACCTGAAATTGTTTATAGGCAACGCAGATAAAATTACTGAGACAGTGTTCTGTGCTGTAGTTTCCTGTTTCACTTGTGTATCCCCCGCCTCATTATCAAAGGAAATATCTCCAAGCCCTGCATCCTATGAAAAATAAATTAAAATAAGCAATCATTTATAAATATATTTTTCTAAAAAAACCTGAAATGCACGAGTTTTCAACTTCTGTTTTATCTGATTAATTGTTTTGGTTTCAACAGCCTCAGCAATCTTTGATAAATCTGCGCCGAAACGTGAAATAGCCGCTTTAAGATCATCAATTTCTTTTTGTGACCATTTTCCACACGTTTTAGAATCTCCATCATTCTGTTGTGCTTGAAATTGTTTAAGGTCTATAGTAAGCTGTGCTAGACGACCGAAGGCGACAGAGGCTTGTTCAAAGATTTCAGCTACTCTTGAAAAATTGGCCATTATTATTCCGTAGAATAAATATGAAGTGAATCCTTTGGAAAGATCTATTGAATCGATATAATTATCCAGCGACAATTTCAACACTGATTTCTGCTGGTAGGCGGTGGACAATCAGAACCGTTGAACCAGGTGTTTTCACACAGTCATACTCTGAAAAACAAAGTATCACAGGTGAGTTGAGTCTTGAACTACAAGATTAGTGGAGTGAGATTAATGTTCTGGCAAACAAATGATAGATTCAAAGCCTACCCTCCGCCTAAGGCTTGGGTGACTTAGAATATGCAGACGATATAGTCCTTCTAGGCGAGGACGCTGACAAAATAGAGCAGAGTCTTCTGGACACCTTGAGCTGCAATCTACGAATGTTTGGCATGAGATTCGCTCCCGCCAAGTACAAGATGTTGTTCCAGGATTGGACTACACCAACTCCTAGGTTAGAAATAGGAAGTGAAGTGGTAGAGCACATCGACCGCTGACATAGACGCGATATCCGACTATTGACCAAAGGGCAGGTGCACTGCTCAACAGTTCGCTCCGTCCTCCTTTATGCCTGTGAGACAGACGTGGCCATTGAGAGTGGAAGACATGAAAAGCCTGGCTAGCTGTCTTTGATCATAGGTGCCTGAGTTCTATTTCCCGTGTGTGTTAAGTGGTTTAATAAGGTGAGCAATATTGAGGTTAGGCATCGGTCGAGTAGTAGGTAGGTGGGAGGGGAAATCAATCGACGAGGCTGTGAAATTACATCGACTGAGATGGTTAGGACATGTGTTACGTATGCCTAGTCATCGCCTTCCTCGATGGGCAATATTAGCTGATATTGGGTCAGGCTGGAAAAGAGCTAGCGGCGGTCAAACCAAATCATGGCCTCATCAGTCAATGAAATCTACAACAGTTAGTCTAAGCCACTTAGGAAGGTGTAGACTTCCTGACTGGTTGTGATCCTCGGGGCGGTAAAAACTAATGGTTGGAAACTATTGGTGACATCATGGCTAAAAATCGTTCTCAATGGCTGGCACAGTTAGATGCATCCACTCCTTGTGACTCGTTTTGATTTCCAATGAAACTACATTGTTCTTCGTTATTACTATTCCTTTGTCTCACATCCCTGTTTACTGTCTCTAATATGCATTTCTTCTACTTTCTTTTCTTGCTTTGTGTGCTACAAGGAGTGGAATGTGGCGACTTGAACTGTTGCACATCGATGCAACGTTCTATGTCGAAAACAGACAGAAGGTCTGGGTGACTGGTTAGTATCACAAATCCTTAATAGACGGTCTCGTTTATAGATCTGAGGTGAATTATTCATCCTGTTAAGACTTTAACTCAATTAGTTACAGTAAATTTCCCGACAGGATGGACGCCAATGGTCACGACTTCTTTCCAGAGCTCAAATCAACTCCGTTCTGTAGTCAGTTACTAGCAAGCATCAAAATAATTTTCTACTTAAGTATGACCATGAATTGATATCAGTTAGAGAACCAAGGAGTACGGAACAAGCGTTTGTTCCCATTTTGGGAGTCCCTGGTAGTACTCACCCACTGGGTTTCGAACCGAGAACCTCCAATGGTTCTCTAACTCATATCAGTCCGTAATCAAACTTAGGTAGAAAATTAGTGTAATGCTCACTATAGACTGGTTAGAGGGCGAGATTGACTGAAGTTCCAGTGAGACATCATAACAACTGAGGTCCACCTGGTTGAGAGTGTGAGGACAAATACTTGCCACGGATGACATTGGCTGGTGCCAGTCGTGCTAAAATCACGAGTTGGTAGAAGTTTGAGTCTACGGGCCATTATATCGCGTCCAAATGGCTGAATGGTATACAAGACCGCCATGTAACTGGAAGTTCCTACGTTCAAACTCCAGAGGGTGAGTACTGCCAGTGAGTCACCAACTAAAACGAAACAGTTGTCTAGTACCTCTTGGTTGTCAGCGATTCTCTAACGGTTATCGATCCGTGGTCAAACTTGAAACACATCAACTCCCTACAAGCTAACTCTTGAAAATTTAAACTGCAGACATTTATTTCACATTCTACACATCATCATCATCATCATTAAAATCACAAGCATTTTTCAACAGAACTCTGTGATAACTAGATTATCCTGAAATTGATGTTCTAGGACGGATTAAAAAGGTAAATTCTGTAAGTAGTACGACTGCACTAGAGCCTAAGAAGTCATAAACGTTCCATCTACTGGTATATAATTGTGAACAAATATCCACACTGGCAGGCCAATGTTGAACTCACCAACTTTGTACAAACATTAAATTAATTTAAACATTAAACTATTAATTTTCATGTACGGAATTCACGACTTTGTACAACTATTCAGTTTAAATAAGAAGTAATCCATTAACTACTCGTGTAAGCTACTACTTTTCAACTAATATCCTGGTTTTTAATTGGTGGATGGTGACTAGCATCCAGCTGGCGGGTCCTGAATAGGATGAAATGAGCATCCTGGATTCCACTGCTAGTCATCACCCACCAATTAAATTCTAATTACATGCACAGACATCCTCGAAGCATCTTCACAAGAAGCCGACAGACATGTCAACCTGAGACCGAGCACTTCTGTCTAATCAGTCGACGGGAAAATCTAAAATTCAATTAAATAATACCCTGGTTCCTTGTCGGAAATCCATAACGATCCTGTCTACTTGCTAGCTAAGACTAGTCAAACAACCGGACCTATTTCAATATTATACACATTATACTCGACCAGATAACCAACATAAGCTCAACCGTTAACTGTTCACTTATGATTCATAATCGCAGAATTAAGAAGCTTATTATTAAATAAGGTTGCTGACATTACGCCCTGGCATTACCCATTGATTTGAGTTGACATGTAACTGGGAATTCCTTGAGTGCAATTGTATTTTGGTCTGTCTTCGTTCATTGAAACACCCGCTATCAAGTAAGTTAAATTTCACAAACTATTACATGCATATCTACAAGAGACAGAATACAGATAGTGGCGACAAGGATTACTGATTGCATTTTTAGAACACTGCGACGTCTCAACGCAACTGAGTGCAAGTTACCACAGATGAATATGGACAACAGAATCATTCGTGACCTCAATTCTAAGGAAATGCTGATGCAGTTAGGAGGAAGGCAGGTAAATTACGATGCCACAATGTCCAAATTTGAAAATAAATTACCTGACAGTGAGTACTATTAGAAGACTGTAACGAAACTCAGTTATTCGATGAATTCCAATGTCGGTATCTATTGATCGGGTAACTATTACTTTATTATATCTGGCATAGAGAATGTAGTTCTCATGGAAGCCGTCCGGTGACAAAATACCCTTTAAACATACGACAATGTTCAACCTGGTTATGCGTAAGTGAGTGGTGTGGATTATAGTCTTTTAAATTTGACTTCTAATGTCAGCAGCATAAGTTGTTTTCAGAAAATAATGTGATGATTACGTAATACAATGTGTATGCATATAGTTTGAATTTGCACTCAAAGTTTTTTGGTGCTTTCTTGGATCGAAGATAAACGCTGTCACCTTAAACCCCTCCAAACGCCGAACAGTTAATTTCACCTTTAGGCACAAATCTGACCTAAACAAACTGGTTATAGCTCACGAGGTGTGCAACATTGATGGCACTGAAATAGAAACCAAGTCAGAAATTAAATACCTTGGTGTCATTCTATCTTCTGATCTTTCCTGGTCGTCTCATTTCTTGATGATTTCTAAGAAAATATTCCGTCTTACCTTCTACATCAAGAAGTTAAGACATTCTGGAATAACTTACCCGACCCTTACTCCTACAATTTGTTAACTCCCGTATTCTGCCTATTACTCTCTATTGTTCCGCCTTAGTTTTTCCTGAGCTAGCTACTGAAGAAAGACTATACCTTATTATGCAGAATGTTAAAGGTTGTCAGCAGGGTAAGCAAAGTGCCACTTAGCCAGCTTGTTAATATTCCGGTTGACAGGCACATGGACTCATGTGAAAAATGGGATAAATCCATTCTATCTAACTCACACCACCACTATCTTCATTCACAACTCTCCCCTTGTATCTCTTCAGGCCGAACCAGAAGCCTATATAGAAAACTATATGCTCGCACTAGTAAGTACAAAAACTCAACCATACCCTACTTAGCTCGTGTTCTGTGCGATAAAGGAAGCATTAGGCGTGATACCTAATAGTCAGTAGAACAACTGGATCTAGTCTTTCCAACTCATTTCATTTATTGGTGCAACGTTTTTCTTTATTTCTTTTCCTTTTCTCTCTCTCCCTTTTTTCTCTGTTATGTGCTGCTTTGTTTCTTTCTTCTGCTTACGCCAGTAAATATGCTAGAACCTACTTTTCCAACACCTTCTAACACTCTGTTTAATTTTGGCTTTGCTACCGACATGCTAATATGTTGTTGTCAAAACTAACTGAGATTACCCTTAATCTATGTAGAATTTTATTTTATTGTTAATTTACTAACTGGATGCAATATTGTAGTAAAATGCTGAGAATTCCATTCTGTATCACAAGTACTGTTTTGGAATAAAGCTATTATTATTATTATTATTGCAGTCACTCTAGAACATGACCTTCAAAAACTAACTTAAGTTACAGGTGACATAACCAAATGTAATGAGGTCTTCTGTACTAGGTTGCCTTGACGAATGAAAAACGACTGTTTGATTAATGTGAAAAGTGGATTAATTGGAGTTACTAAAACACATACAGGAGAAGCATGACAGGATAATTGGTCTATTGAGAGGATTGGGATTTCCAGGTACATTAATCAGTCTGTTGTTTGAACAACAGTATAAGCCTGATTGGCCGTTGGGAAGATAGAATTAAAGAAAGGAAAGGCGTAGAGCAATTGACGGCTGGAGTAGAAAAAGGGGTAAAGGATCTTAAACTATTGAGTTTTCGCGTGGTGAGATCTTGGAAACCTATGTTACCAAAACCTCTATTCACAAGTCGAATGTACATGGTGTATCAGTGTGCTGTTCGAATGCAAGTAGTCT